TGATGATGGTGGTGGTGGTGGTGGTGGTGATGGTGGTGGTGGTGGTGGTGACAGGGGTGATGATGATGATGAAGGTGGTGGTGGTGGTGGTAGTGGTGATGGTGATGATGGTGGTGATGCTGGTGATAATGGTGGGGGTGATGGTAGTGGAGGAGGATATGGTGGTGATGGTGGTAATGGAGGTGATAGTGGTGGTGATGGTGATGGAGGTGAAGGTGATGGTGGTGGTGATGGAGGTGAAGGTGATGATAGTCGTGATGGAGGTGAAGGTGATGGTGGAGGAGGTGTCAGTGCATGGTAATGGTGGTGTTAGCAGACAACTTATCTAGTGCTTACCAAGTAGTAGGGATCCTTCTTATCTCTTTATGTATATTATATATTTTTATAATAACTCATTGAAGTAAATGTACTATTATTATCCTTATTCTAAACATGAAGAAGCTGAGGCACAGATGGAGTGACTTTCCCAAATCACCAAGTGACGTCCAGAGACGCCCAAAGGGATTATTTTGCCCAATAGATCAGGTCTATGATTCTAGAACTTGAGCTCTTCCCACTAGCTTTACATCAGTGCCTCTTGATGTAAATCATGGCACTCAGGTCAGGCAGATGCTGTATTACCCATTTTACAGCATTTTATAGAGTGTGTGTCGGTTTCAAGAAAGTTTTCCACCTGCAGCTGGGCACAGCTATTCTCAAAGCCCTTCATAGGCCTACCAACATCTACAAATGCACTTGTCCCAGGCTGACTCATGGCACGTTGGGAGCACAGACGGCACATTCTGGAGCCACACAGCCTCCCTATGAGGCTTTGGGTGGAGAGTTAGGGTCTCTCAGCCTCGGTTTCCCTCTCCACAGATGGGGATGAGAACTGAACCTCACTTTATAGGACTGCTGGGGGCCTGAGACTGGATTGGCCCCACGCTTCCCTCATCGTGCAGGGCTCTACAAAGCAGTGCTGATGGCACTAATTCTTACTGTCTAGTTTTCCACCAGACTGTGAAGGCATCAAACATTTCTTTCCTGCCCTGGCCTCCTGATGCCTCTAGCATGGTTCCCGAAACACTCTGGGTACCAATCAATGTGCTTCCAGTGAAGCTGAATGCATCCCAGTTGTTAACTGTCAGGGAGGCTCTTCCTTCAAAAAAAACTAGTAGAGGGAATACGTGGCCCAGTTAATAAACTGAGGATCTCATTCACTGCATCTCAGCCCAGAATAACTTTTCCTGGCTCACCAGAAAGGCAAAGGCACTTAAGGTACAAAGAAATGGGAATTAGCGGCAAAGTCACACCATAAGAGGATATTTGCGTTTCTACCGGAAACACACACACTGAGAGCAGCTGGGCTCATGGAAAAACTGGCTGACCACGGACCAGCGTGGCACCTTGCTGCTGAGGGGGCAGTGCAATTGAGGGACAGACATACGAGGATTCAAGTCCCAGAGCCCTGGCTTCCTCGCCAGGTGACCTTGATCAAGTCAATTAGCTTCTCCTAGTCTCAGCTTCCTCACCTATAAAAATGAGGGTAGTAATTGCTGTCTATTTCTGGTGCAGTGGAAAGGACGTTATTACAAGTAAGGGTCCGGCCGCACGTGTGGTCACTTGACAGGCACTTAATAACAGTCAGCTTCCCTTCCCTGATGCTCCTCGGGCCCACTGGGGCTAATCGTCCCTCAAAAAACGAATGAGAAATGATAGGGCTGTGGGAAAGAGGTGGCATGGTCATGATGAAGGGCCTGGGGCCACAGATGGGATGGTAATACTACCTCCTTCATACAGGAGCCGGGCACACACGGAATGTGTGTGAAATGCTTAGCAGAGTGCCCGGCATACAGCAGGCTGTCAATAAATGGTGACTGTTCTTACCAGCCTGTCGTGAAATGACATGGCAACATGAGATGCTGTGGCTAAATTGCCGGTGAATGAGGAGGGGGTCAACACAAAAGCCGCCACCCCCCAGTTTGCTGGGGACTGTCCTGGTTTTAGCACTGCAAGTCCTGTGCACCAGGAGCACCCCGAGTCCCGGGAAAACCAGGGGGTAGGTCATCCAAGGCCCGTGGTGCTGCACCAGGCGTCCCACACCACTGAGTGGCTTCTCTCAACCTATGACTCCAATCCCCAGCCACTCTTCCTCCCCCGGGGCTCCAGCCTGGGGGTTTACTGGACGCTCCGTGGGCATACTGACTGTGGGATATTGGCCTTTGTTGCTTTCTTTATCTGGAACCTGGATTGTCAGAACCCCCTAAGCTGGCCCCCAACAGGCTTCCTGTCTCACCACCCCCCTGGACATGACCTCATTTGGAAGTTGTCTGCAGAGGGAATCAAGTTAGGGTGAGCTCATCCTGGATGAGGGTGGGCCCTAAGTCCAGTGACTGGGGTCCTCCTAAGAGGCCATGTGAAGACACAGAGAAGGAGGCCGTGTGAAGGTGGGGTCAGAGACTGGAGTGGTGTTGCCACAAGCCAGGGAAGGCCAAGGGTGGCTGGCAGCTGCCAGATGCCAGGAGGGCAGAGCACGGAGCAGATTCTCCCTCCGGTTTTGGACTTCCGGCCTCAGAACTCTGACAGCATCACTTCTGTTGTTCGAGGCGCCCCAGTTTGTGGCCCCAGGAGAGCAGCGCGCCTCCTCACTGAGGCCTTCCCTGACCACCTGCTGCAGTCGGCCCCTTCCCAGCGCTCTCTGTCTCTGCATCTGGTCCTAGCTCCTCCCAGCACTTAGCGCTTCCTGAAAGTACCTAGTCTGGTACTTACTTTACCACCAGTTTCCCCATCCGAAGCCACAGTGAAGTTTCGTGAGAGCTCAGTGCCAGCCCCAGGACAGGTGCTTGATCGACATGTACTGAATGGGTCCCCACGCCACTGTCGCTCTACTGTTATTTATTTAGTCGAGGCTGCAGAAAGGCCGAGTGGCGGGGCACCAGTGGCTGGGACTTGCACACCCCTGCCAGGCTGGTCCTCGGTTGCAACTGTGGTCCACGGGAGCAGGCCCCGGTGGGCAGCTGGAAGGGGGCAGAGACACTGAGAAGCGAGCAGAGGGCAGCGTGCCCCCCGCTCTCAGCTAAAACATCAACAGTTCCAATGTACCGAGACTGCTACAACTTCCGAGGCCTTCCCCTTCCTCGGGGCACATGGCCTGATGGTGCGCAAGGGGTGGTCAGGGACACACTCCCTCACACAGGGTGAGCTTAGCTTCCCGATTCCTCCCAGAGTCCAATTGGAGCAGCAGCTCTAAGCTCTTGAAAAGCAGAAGGGACCTCAGAAAATATTCTCCAGGGAAATCAGAGAGGCTGAAGGAGACACTTTAGGGACAACTGGAAATGTGCATTTTCCTACTGGAGTGCAGAAAAACTTGAGTCCAGTCAAAAGCATTTTACTGAATATAATAGTCTTAACTTTTGAAAATGAAAATATGACACATATCTTTAAATTGCACAGTGCAGTATGGGGAATCATCACAAAATGCACACACCTGTGCAACCCTCACCCAGGTCAAGAATCAACCTATACTACCAGCACCCCAGAAGCCCCCCACCCTGCGCTTCCTCAGAATCATCATCCTCCCCTTCTCCCCAAAGATCACCACCAGCCTGACTGCTTATCACCAAAGCTCCGTGTGTGGAATCATAAGGGGTGTGTTTGTCTCTCATCTCCTTGTGCTTTTCATGCATGTGAAATGCATTCATGTTGTAGCATGAAACTGTAATTTGTTTGTTTTTATTACTGTGTAGTATTCCAAAATGTGAGTATATCACACTTCATCCGCCTTCCTATTGACGGACACTCCGGTGCTTTCCGGTTTAGGATTAACGCTAATAGTGCCCCATAAACATTCTTACACAAGTCTTTCAGGGCACACCCATGCAAGTTTATATATACATTGCAACCATAAGATACATTTGTTCAGTTTTAATAAAGCCAATTTCCTTAAATTATCACAC